CGGTTTTCGTTAAATATCTTAAAGATTAAAATTTGATTTATTGAAAAATATTTTTGGTTTTTTTTATCTTATTTTTAGGAATAATATGGAAGTAAATTATTGTGAATTATTTTTTTGTATTTAGAACCGCAAGATATAAAATAATCATAAAATATAAAAATATTAAGGGGGAGAACCAATTCATCTAATTCAATATAATGAAGCACGTAAATTTATGTGTGAAGCACATGTATGTGTGCGTACATGTACCTATGTATGTATTATATTTCCAAAAACATTTCATTAAAATTTAATTCAAAACTATTATTAAAACGAGAAAAAAAAAAGTTGACCTTGTCAACTCTGTGATACCCGTACGAATTTGTTATCCTATGTGCGAATAAAGATGCCATAACTGACTATGGGACAGACTATCACTTTGAGTTGCCGTATTACCATATTAATTAATGCAAAATTTCAGTACTGTGAGTTTTTCAAAGTACTGTGTGTGCCAAACTACTATTTAATTTGTATGGAATTTTATCAAACACATTGGCCCTACTAATATATTCGCTTGTGTGAAATTTCAATACCATAGCTTTTATAGTTTCTGAGATATAGCCAAATAACTTTTGAAGTTGTATGGCAGGTACCAGAAGGAGCCAAGTAATTTCAACGACTTTCATGAGACACATTGGCCCTACTAATATAATCGTTTGTGTGAAATTTCAATACCACAACTTTTGTAGTTTTTGAGATATAGTCAAATAAATTTTGAAGTTGTATGGCAGCTACCCGAACCGGTACTCCGATCATGTCCAATTTAAAAAGGGTTCTGGCACTTACTACAATAAATCATTTGTGAAAATTTGGTGTACTTAGCTCAATTAGTTTTTGAGTTATTGTTCGGGCGGACGGACGGACAGACAAAGCTAAATCAACTCAGAATTTGACGCTGATCAAAAACATACACTTGAGTCTATATCTAAGACCGTTATTTCTTAGCGTTACAAACGGTAAGGCAAATTTAGTATACCCTTCGAACATACGTTCGTACGGGTATAAACATGTTTTAATCTCTATCATAAATAGCACATAAAAAGAACAAATTATTTTCTGATTTGGTCTTAATTGGAACTCACCTGTGACTTGAAACTATACACAAATGTTATTTTTTTTTAGAAATTCGATTACTCAAAATATTTATTTTCTAAGAATTTCGGCATCTAATTTAAATAATATTATGGATTTCTCCGTTTTAAAAATATTTTTTGTAATATTTAGAACAGCACTTCATAATAAAGAGCTCTTGAGCTCTTCTATAAATGAATCAAAGCAAATATGAACTTTAACTTAGTTTAGTTAAGAGAAAATATTAGATTTGTTTTTATTGTTCTAAATAAACAGATAAAGACAGACCACTTAAGATTGAAATCGATTTATTTAACAGGTTATCAAAATTTAAGTCGTTTTTTGATTTAAACTTGGTTTTACCAAAATTATTTAGCATGTAAGTATACCTAATAGTGTTCTATCTCAAAATGTATATGCAAAATTGAATTGTAAACAAAATGAAAATTTCAGTATACTATCATCATAAATTGTAAATTTACATCTCATACTTGTACTCTCCTAAATATAAAATTTTTTAACTTTACCCTTGTATAAGGAAAGTCAATTGAGCACATTTAAATGTAAACTTAAAGTGACGATCAATTGATTCTATTGAAAACTACGTAACTGCTACAGTTTAACAGTGTAACTAAAATCGCACAAATCAATTACGGTATATAAGAGAAAGCCTTCCGAATTAATTGAAAACAAATATATTTACACACTCCGTTACAAGGGAAATCTGTCAATTAGTAAAATTCAGAGATCTGCGAATAAAGCAACTATAATCGATCGATAAAATAATTATTTCAATTATTTTATTAATTGAATACTATTAAGAAATTCATGTTTCATTAAATATTTAATTAACCAAGATCATAAATTAAAAATCGCATTCTTATTTAAACTAAAAACCACGTAAAAACCTTTCAAAGTTCAATTTTATTGGAATTTTTTATGTAAACGCAGTTACGGTTGATTGCAATTCAATTTTTACAATTTATTTTTTTTGTAAAGTTAATCAATTTGTAAATTTATTATAATTACCGTAAAATTTAATTATTTTCAATTTTTCATAATCTTATACATTTTTATTATGAAACCAAAATTATTAAGATTTCTTTTCAATTAAATCTTGTACTTACTCGTAATAAACCAGGAAAGCAACAAAAATGAAACGAAATTTTCATTTCTTCGGATTTACAATTTTATGTGATGTGACGATTTCCTCTTCATCAAAAACTTTCACACCTCTATAATATTAACATGAACATGTTAATGTTACCTTTGCTCTTCCAATATTTCAAATCTTCAAAAATCAAAAGCACTCCAACTTTTGTTATGTTATATGTACAGCAGTTATCAGATACGCACAATTTACTCCTAACATAAAATAATAGTTTGAAACAGTTATTTAAAAGTGATAATTTAACACGTTTTATGTCGGTTTATAACCTATAAAAATTTCAAATTAAAATTAAATTTTAATCGGTCTTGATCACTTTTATACAACGAAAAGTAACAAAGAATCATTTAATATTATAAAAAAACGACTTCTGATTTGCTTCTTTACATAGTCGTCCAAGCCAATTGACTTTTGGTAATATTTTTGCAAGTTTAATATTTGAATTCTTACATGATCTCCAGAGCCGACTTTTATTTTCCGGAAATCGTCCATTTAATTAAACTTAGGGAAGAACCATACTCGACTTGGAAGGAATTTTGAAACTATTCCACTAGGTGTTGCTTTATTATCGTCTGAAACAGGGTTAAACTCTTTGTAAGAAAAACTAGATTGTAGATTTTACAATCTACAAGAAAGACTAAAGCAAGGTCAGAAGCTTGAAGTCGAAAACTTGAAGTTAGAAGCTTGACGCCAAGCTGAGTCTTTGAAAAAAGAACAAAATGGAGTCGTTCAATGGCAGTTTCGGCATATAAGGTGAGTTCTGCTTTTACTGTTGCTATGTTAAAGTACTCCTTCTGATTTGCGAATTTGTACACTATCTGATTTGACTTCCAGCAGCATTTCTAAGCTCGGAATGCAATTCGTATATTAAGCCTGTTTGTTCTCCCACCTTTTCTTACGTAATTTTTGAATAAGTAGCGTACTTTTTCTATTCAACGTGGTTGAAACTTTTTACTTAATTGTGATATTTTATAACATTCAAAATTAAACTGTAAAATTATCATTATTTTAAAGTAGCTGTCATTACAATTTTTTGTTACAAATGTTTACCTTTAAGAAGTCAAAATGTTTTCGTAAACTACAATAATTTTTACACCAAAAAAGAAGAAAAGAAAACTTTAATTTCCTTTAAAGACTTTTTTCACTTTTCAAAGGCGGAAACAAAAGAAAATCTATAAAATTAAATTTGACTTATGATGATAGATGGAAAAATTCAAATCATCTTATAAAACAAAAAAAGAACGAATGAATTTCTTTAAAACAAAAACCAAAAATCGTTTAAAATTTAATTTTTGTAACTTTCGTTTTTTTTCTCAGTTTTCCTGCTTTTCAATGATTTTTAAAGAAACTATTAAAACAAAAAGCCTACAATTACAAATCTTTTGTCTTCTATTTGTTTTTTTTCTCCGTGTTCTTTCTTGCCTCTTCAAACCTCAATTACACATGCTTAGAAAATTATCAAAAAAAAAGTTTTTTTTTTGCTCTCTTGATATATTTTTAGTTCATGAGAGCGATGCTGTAGCTCTTAAATGTACGAGTACTTGCTCTATTCATTTCCTATTGAACTAAATTTTTTTCTTGTAGGATATGCGCAAGTAGGAACGTATGGTACTTGTGCACTGCCTCTTGTCAGCCCGCACAATTGAAAGTTTTTGTATTACAAATTGATGCAGAACTGTTACTTACGACATGAAATAAAAATAATTTGAATCAAATAAAAAAATCGACTAAGTAAGTATATATAAAGAATCGAATAGTTTTGCCAATTCATGAAAAAAATGTTTTCCCGAATATTTTACGATGCCTTCGAGTAAAAGTATTTTTATATGCTTAATCTTACGCTTTAAACTCAAATCAATGAAGTTTAAGACGTTTTTTATTAGAGGTGTTGAACAATTTGGCCAAACAAATTTTTTTGCACCGTTATTGCTAACAATACTTTTGAAGCACTGCAAAGTATTCTCGAAGTTGTTGAGCTACAATTAGATTGTAAATAAAAACAATCTTTGTATTAAAATTATGTAATACAGAACTGAGAGCTAGTTTTATTATTAAGTATAGTTAAATCGACATTAATTTTTATTATGATGATATGCACTTTCTTGTTCCTTACTCTAAATAGAAAACGGGCAATAGATTCGAATATTGTGAGCTTTAATGACTTGTTCGAGCAAATTTGAACTTAAAAATATAATAATAAGGTAAAATGGATTGAAAGCGCAACACGATTTACTTTTATTCGCCGAAGTGCCACTTATTTAACTGTTGTAAATTTAAAATGGAATATTGAAAAATTTGATTAAGTAAGTAAGCACATATACACTTTTCCTCTTTCAAGAGAAAGATACATTAATTAATATGATAAATACAGACATTTGCACACATATACCAAAAAATAATAAATACTTAAACCAAATGTAATGGCATTTTTATTAAGATCAAGTTATCGGTACATGCCTAATTATCGGTGTCGATAATTTGACTTTAATAAAATTGCAATAAAATGAGTGAAACTGGCGTACTTAATGAAATTTCATTTGGAATTTCCAAAAAAAAAATTTATTGTGAATTTAAAATTTGCATAATATTAATTAACAAAATATATAGTAAGTATGTATGTATATGTATGTTGGTAACGTTTATTATTTTACACTTTCCCTTTATTAAATTAAAAAGTAAAAGAGAAAGAAATAAAAATATTAAAATTAAAAATTTTACTCACCTTTTAATTTTTGTTTGAAATGCACGCACCAATATAATTTATGTGATATTTTGCGGCTTAATTCAAAGTAGAATATAAAGACAAGGTATGCTACTGTCAACTTGACAGATTTTATTCACCTTGTGTTGAATATCAGAAATTTTGTTTGAATGCTACTCATAAGCTTTTCTTTAAATAAAAATCACTTTTTTTTTATTTTTCAATACTCAATTTCTAATTCACTTAAATTTTTAATTTTTTTTATTTTAAAATTTGTGTGTTTTTTTTTATAATCGTACACTAAAATTCAACTGAAAATAAATAAAAAAAAAAATAAAATAAAATTATCACTGTATTAAAATTTGTAATCTTATAAAAAATGTTTTTCTCACGTGTAATTTAAATTTCATATCTTATTAAAAATGTAGTAAAGTGATTACACATGTACTTAACACGTATATGTAGTGCAGTAATTGAAAGAAATAAATTTTATAATAGTCACAGCGAACACACTGACACAACAAATACCTATATTTATTTTTAAATTTACACGTGGGTTTGTGTAAGTGTGTTTTTTGCTTTGTGAATTCAAGTGAATTTCGCTTTTCCAATATTTTTTTTTATTATTTCTTTCTTTTCATTTATTTTTTAATTATTTTAAATTTATTTTCGATTTTCATACAAAAAAATAAATAAGTAGAAAATTTTCATGTCATTGCTATTTAATTAAATTTTATTAGTGTTGTCGCAATTGTAAAGTAAATACGGTGGTTGCTGCCGTTGTCGTTTCTTGTAATTTTATTTTTTGCAGATTCAGAATTTTTGTACACTATGTGCAGTGTGGTGACACAATTCCTTACTTCTTTTATTCTTGCTGTTTGTGTTTTTTTCTTATTACTTGTTATTTTTGCTTTTCAATTTTTCACTTTTTTCTCACTTGTGCATTTTTAATTCAATTGCAATTGTACTTTTTTTTGTTTTTTATTTTGGTACTTTAAAATTTATTTTAAATTTCTCTTTAATTCTTTTCTAGAATTGAATTTTGATTTTTTTTTTTGTTATTGTTGACTTTTTTATTCCATACAATCAATTTGTCATTTAGTAATTTTTGTTAAAATTTAAAAAAAAAATGAAATCACATACTTAGTAAGTATACCCAATAATTGTAAGTATTTATATATGTACATAAGTATGTATATATTTTTTTTTTGCTTAATGAAAATTAATAGGGTTACCAGCACTTAAGAATTGGTAAGAGAAAAATAAAATACGAGACAATTTTTGAAGAAATACTAGTGAAAAAACTTTATATTCACAGTTCCTCACAATATTTTCCGATTGTTTGAAGAGGTAGAGCTGCTGATGGATTAAACAATCAATTCTAAACAGGTAGAGCTGCTATTTTCAAATGGATCAACAAATTTATATAGCCATTCCCCATGAAAAATATAATATGTATTACATTAACTCTCAAACTCTGCTTCCCGTAAACAGAAAGAGAGAGGAAAAGATTCACAGAGTTTATTGGAAAAATGATATATAAAAGACATAGAGAGTAAAAAATAAACTACGTTCAATACAAAGAATGTCCGGAATTCAATGGCTTTCCCAATTCGATTGTTGATTCTCAAAATTGTTTGTTTTTTTTAACAATTATTTTTCCGATCTTCTTCAGGGTTTGCCTCACACAAACTCTAAGTATATTTTGTATAATTTTAATTCTAAATTAAGATGTTTTTATGTTAAACAAGTAATATAATTTTGCAGATTTGCATAAATACTAGTTTTTATTCAAATAACTGTCGTTGCGTAAACGGTATTATGGGGATAATAAAAACAATGCAGCGTTTGGTGAGCTTGTCGTTTTATTATTAAACATTTTATGTTCTTATATATGCTGTATAATAGAAAAGCATGTTAGTATTTTATATTACATAAATGTATGTTATCTACATTGAAAACATATTACATGACTACGTACATATGTACGAACTTATTTACTTTATTTTTAGCATTACTATCTTAAGAGAACACGATATTTTCATTTCCCGATTTTGTATTTATTTTTTTGTTTTTATTCGTTATTCTTACTTTTCTTTTCTACTTTCAGCTATTCTTATTCCTTAACCGACATATACACATGTGTGTTTGTGTATATCTACTATTGTAATGAAGTTTCACAAGAGAAAAGTCAACACGAATAACAAACGGATGAAAAAACAATGATAACACAAAAAGCAGTTACAATAAGAATAAAAGTAAAAGAACAAATATTAAGAATCAAACACAAAACAAAGAAATGAAACGCTTTTCTGATATTTGTATTAAAAACAAATAGAAACACAAATTTTTTGGGCGCTAAATGCATGTGAATATGGTACATAGAAGATGTCTATATGCTTCTATATATATACCCATTTATTATATACATAAAACTTACTGAACGCGTACATATGTACAGTGCTACAGATCCTACAACAAAAAAGAGCAATTCGAATTTTAAGTAATACTTTAAAAGGCACAGTGTGGAATACGTTCCAATTTTACTATACCCTCCTTATCAAGTATACGAACATTAAGTTCGTATAAAACTAGCTCGTAAAATTAAGAAATATAATTGAATATAATAAAAATTTTTGTTGAGTTGGAAACTGAGAGGAGCGTCCTTCCAAAAGAACAGTAAACTTTCTCTTTCGGAAACTAACTTAATTCCACTTCCCGAACACGGACTTTTACGGGGTAAAAGTGGCTTACCGCACGTCCTTTTTTCCGACTTTTAATTATCAAACTCATATCAACAAAATAACTTAGTATTGACAAGTGACCGTTTTCCTTCTTATATAAGAGGTATGACTCTTGCTCTTCTGGGTGTTCTTCCGCAATCATTAACTAATTCTTTATTTTTCTTGAATTTAAACCAATCTTATCCTAAGCTCAAACCGTTCTTAAATTTATTTAAAGTGTTTTATTAAATCAAATATGAATTAACTTCAAATAATATCAAACAGTCGTTCTCCTAATGTACCAATTAAGATTGCCCATATTAAACCTAAAACTACTTACATCTGAAACAATAAATAATAAAATTTTCTCAATAAATTTCTAAATTTTCTTTCTTTTAACTTTTGATTTTTTGTTTTAGCAGAACAAAAATGATTTTTAATACCATTTTCATGATTTTTTAATTCAATTGCTGTATTTTTCAATTAAATATCGTTAGGATTGAAAACTTTAGTTAAAAATGGAAATGAAATTAAAATCAAATTTTAAAAATTTTATTTCTTTTCTAATTCAATTATGCACAAACATATTAAGCAATTAGTTTATAGTTTCTATTCTATGAATGAATTCAAATAGAAAAGAAATTTTTTTTTAAAATTCAATTTTTAAAAATTAAATTCAATTGTTTCTTTAAAACAAATTTTTTTTAACAGTAGAATGATGCCATTATTAATAATAAAGTTATAGACGTCACTTAGAATATTTCCAGCTGTCCTAGTATGATTTTTATGGTCTACTATATAGAAAATAGTCTGTCATATGGTCTACTATATAGATATAATTGTCTGTCATATTAAAAACTTGAAAGTAAAGACTGTAGCTTGATCCATATCCATTACACCTAAATCAGTAGATAAATTTGTATTATTTCTAATAGAGCCTTTTTCAAATTCGCATTGTATTACAATAGTATAGAAAATATTTTATTCAAACCAAATTTCTCTTCTCAAATTTTCAATAGAAATTGTTAGGACGGGTTCTGTTACATTTTATACTCGTATATGTACACATATAAATTTTCCCTACGAATTTGCACGCTATGCCGAAATTTCACATCGGATACTGAAAATATGATTTACTAATCTTTTCTAAGGAGCAACTTGGAAATTTTTTATGACATTTAATGGAAATTTTTCATGATAACAATAAAAAACGTATAACAAAATCAGATTTCAGAACATGTACTTTTTCTGCGGTAAGGTCCTACTTTGAATTTTCAAAAGCATTTACCATTCAAAATTTTTGGTACTCAAGGGCTTCTGTAATAAGAATGTTTTTGCAATTTATTGTCATAACATACGGTTATAATCATATATTTAAAATTTTTTTAATAATATCCTGAATTTTTTCAATATTTCTAAATTAAGTTATTAATTTACAGTTAATTTTGCTATCACAAAAGGCTTTTTGAAAAATATTTAAATACTTAATTCTAAAAATATATCAATTTCGAAAAGGAAATATTATGCCACTATATGAAATATGAACTCCCTATATTAATAAAATATTATTTTGTAAAGAACCACCTATTGTGTAGTGTTGTGAATAAACAAAAAATTAATATTTTTTAGAATGAAATTACATTAAAACTAATAATAATTCTATATATTTATATACATAAGTATTATAAGTCAATTAAATTATACCCCTAAGGCTATTATAATTACATATACTTTCAGTTTTTAATTAGTTTATGTAAATATTTGAATGCATTATGAAAAATAACTATGTATATAAGTACATGTAATTGCTAATAATGAAAATGATTGAAAATTGAAATATTTATTTAAAAAAATTAAATTATGGGTGGCTATTTACTAAAATTTAACTAAAAATTTTCAATTATTAAAATTGTTATATTGTATACTTATAGATATTTTTACATTATATAAAGTAATTGAGTAATTAACTATTCACATAAATAATAATAATTACAAACAAACTTTATGCATATTTGCATCTGCTTAAAATTCATTTTCACATATGAATGAATTCTAAGCATATAACCATATTTACGCACATATAGTAGATATAGTATACTACTTCCATACCTAAGCATAATATGTAGATAGGTTTTAATTTTTGGCCAATTTATATATGTATATATGTATGTAATATTCACAAAGTCCAATAAATAATAGCGGTTTTGTAAAAATTAATTGGAAAACATTGGAAAATATCATAAAATGTTTGTATATGTATACATGTGTGTATAATCAATTAAAAAAAGGATTTTTAGAAAAGGTGATTAAAAAATTATTTTACCTTATATAAGCATTTAATCCGAAAGGATTAAATTTTTACTTTCATAAATTTTTAAAATTTCTAAAATTTTAATTTATTGGCATATTTTTTTTTTGTTCATTTTATTTTACAAACTGCAACCAGTATTCGCTTAAAGTTGTTATAAAAATTTATTACGTGAGGTCAACACAATCATGAAAATAATTTGAGTAATATTTTCCCTTTAAATATTGTCCAAATCAAGATTTTATGTTAAAGCATTAAATTTTTAAGAATTTGACTTGGAAAATTAAATTTACTAGCCCTTTAAATAAGGTTAAACGATTTCTACAGGTTGATTCTGAAAGGAAGCAACAAAGAATACCACTTGTTAGAGAATCAAAAATGAATAAAACTTTTGTTTCAAAGTATGTACCAAATCCCAAGGGTTTCCGAGACAAGGATTTTAACGAACTTTAACGAATTGTCGCGAATCTATGCTTGCCCAAGTTTTGTGCTTATAACTTCCATTCCAAAAATGATATGGGTTTTAAAGTTATAATAATTAACTATTTTTTTTTGGTATTCCATGTAATTTTGGGAACACAAACATTCGAACTTTAGAAAAATTCTAATTTTTACCATTTTATACGTTTTTAGTTTTCTGGATTCCAACAATTTCGCATCGAATTTTTAGAAATTTTTAAATTTTTTTTTTACAGAATATTGCCTAGCTTTAATTTAAGTTGATAGATATTAAAAAATCTTTTACGGCAAGGAAGATATAGGAAAGAAACCATTTGTAGTCCAAAATTTTAGAGGTCGTATAACAGTTTATTTTCAAAAATAAAATTGATGTTTAAATACCTGGAATGCATCCCCATGTCGTCTTAGAATACATCTACAAGTATTGAAATTTAATTTTACAAAAATACGCAACAAGGATCGTAGAATAAAAACCACAAATGAACAGTACAAAACTCTATAAATTCTTTCACTTTCCTTTTATATTTGATAAATATATGGGTAAATATACTTA